CTCCTGCACACCCTGGGGATGTGCCCGCAACCCAGGTACATGCCCTTGACCGGAATTGAACCTGGGACCTTTCAGTCTGCAGGCAGACGCTCTATCCACTGAGCCAAACCGGTTTTGGCAAACACTCCTCACTTCTTAGACGCTCCTCTTAGTTTGTGATATTTTGGCTCTTCTGGTTCCTTTTGGATCCTCTACAAACCCTTCTTTCTCTCCTGCCAAGAGAGGCTGATACTCTCCTATCCCATCCATGGTCCTTTTCTCTCCTCTTTCTATAATATCCACTGAGTCATCATTTTCATTTCCACACTGTATCCCCAATCAATATACCTTAACCCTCAACCTCTCTCCAAGCTCCAAGTCCACATACACAATAACTGCCTATTAGATATCTCCATCTGGGTGTTCCAGACACTTCAAAACCCACATTCCTAAATACGAATTCAGAGCACAGCACCAGCACCCAATCAAGACAGAACTCGGGGAGTAGCTCTGCTTCTCCCCACGTCCCTACCCTCGCCTTATCATAGAAGGCATTTACAGTGTCTGCTCAGCGAAGAGTCCACTTCCCCGGAAATGCCCGACTCTGATCTAAAAGTCATAGTGGTGCAGCCCTGGCAGCCATGTCTCTCCTAGGAATGTGAACCTGGGGAATTTGAACTCAGTCTAGCCTGGTCTTTTAAATGGAGGAAATACAGAAACAGTGGCAGAACCATCTTTTATCACATAAATTGAGCAGCAGAAGAAGTTGGTAAAGAGAGAAGAATAAAGAAAACACACAGGGGCAGGGCGGGAAACAGAGAGGAGAGAAAAGAAATAGGGATTCGTGACAGCTTTCTATTCCTAGTTCTAACTGCACGGTTAAGACATGCCTGCACTCTTGCCCTTGACGTCTATGGTATATCCCCATATCTTCACCAAAAGATTTACTTGCACCCAAAGAGAGTCCTTACTAATTCAACTCCCCTACTATCTATCTTCATTGCCATTTTGAAGCACAGATCCTATGATTTCATGTTCCCAATTAAAATCCTTTAATAGTTCCTTCCCCATGGTCTCAACATGAGAAACTAGGCCCTGCGGGAGTATCCCATCTCTCCAACCAGTCCTTCCCCCGACTTAACGCTCAGCCATAACAAATTCCTCCCAGGTTCCGGAACAAATCACGTCCCTTTTTACCTCCATACATGCTATTCCCTCTTCCTAAAATTCCCCGTCCGCTGGGTGGTATCTAATTCATCCTCTTCCTGTCTCACTCTAAGTGTCACTTCCTCGAGACAAAGACTGCACTGACCCCATCGAGGTAACCACTGCTTCTGTTTTTCTTTCATCAACATTTCATACTACAATGAAATCCTTCGTGTGGGCATGTGTATCTCACATGCTCACATGCTCGCTACGACGACTGTCAGTTTCTTGAGTGCAAAGATTGCACCTTATCCTTGCACTTTTTTGAATGTATTTATGCCAAATTTTGATTTTTTTCTTTCTCTATATCCCTCAGAAAATAAGAACAGAAATATAAAACACACTTGTAAACTCATGTGTGTCTGGAACAGCACTTTAGACTCGAGGGGTCTAATCACATACTTATGTTGATTCCACTACCGGCAAACACTCCCCATAAGGATAACAGGCTTTGTTCCAAACAAAAGGCAGTTGTAGGAATGTCACTAAGCGTTGATCTCAGGTGGGTGCTTCTAACAAAATCTTTCATGACCACTTACCCGTGTATTCTGGATAACAGATAGTTAATGGACTCCTCTTTATTTTTTCCTCAAAAAGATCTTTCTTGTTGAGGAAGAGAATGATTGAAGTGTCTGTAAACCATTTGTTGTTACAAATGCTGTCAAACAGTTTCATGCTTTCATGCATTCGGTTCTAAGAAAGAAATAAAGGATGATAGGTCAGTCACAAAAAGCAAAGGTGGACAACTGTTCATGAAAACACAGACCAAGTTTTAAAAGCACTGAATGACAACCGTGGAATTAAGTCAGACACTGATAACAAAACACCTGGGCCAGTCCTCATTTTTGTAATTCTTGGAAGATTAGGAGGTGGGAAGAAGGACTGCTGATAAGAGGACTCAATCCTGCCCACATACTCCATGTGCTGCCATGGTCATATCTCTTAAAGTCAATAGGGCAGGAATGAATATTTTGAAAATCGAATTTCACTGACAAGGAAAAAAGTTAGGGATGTAAGTTTTGATTCAATGAGCACATGGATGCACAGTCTTCCTAAAAGTTAGTTTCCATTTCCTGGATGCACGAGACAGGCTTTTTATGGAGGCTCCAACATACCATCTCCTCATCCTCAGCCAGAACAAGGTCATAGTCACTGAGAGCCACACAGAAGATGATGGCTGTCACTCCTTCAAAACAGTGAATCCACTTTTTTCGTTCCGATCTTTGGCCGCCTACATCAAACATCCTGAGGAAGGGGAAGCACAAATTCAGCAAGATCACACACCCCTCCCTGAACTGAAATGGTGAGGGATTTCCCACTATTGCATATTCCAAACCCCATGTGTAATGGGAAAAAAAACAGACAAAGGAGCAGATAAAGTGTAGTCAAAATAATTATCTGTGGTTAAATTAAAACAAAATATGAGAAAATAAATCTCTGGAATAATAAAAATTCTCATTTTAGAGATAGTGAGCCTCCTCTCTATCAGCTTGTACCAGATGTGCCAAGCCAGCAGAGTAAGCACTGAAATGGATAAAAGGAAGGGGAGGAAAAAGGACAGGGAAAATAAAGAGCTGAATAATACAACTTAAGATAATAACGATACCTAATATTTACTGAGTGTTTACCATGATGCCAGACACCATCCTAATTATCTTAAGTGCATTAACTGATTTAACCCTCATAGCACTCCTGACTCCTACAAGTATCCCAATTTTACAGATGAAGAAATTGAGGCACAGATGTGTTAACTAATTTGCCCAACGACACACAACTAACAAATAAGGACCGAGGATCTGAACCCAGGCACTCTGACCCCAGCGCCCAGGCTCTTATCCACAAACACTGCAACCTCTCAAATGGTTTACCTCTTTTGAGAACGTAATAAATATAAATCCCCAACTTGCATTCTCTCCATAACTTCTCCCTACTGATTCAAAAGTTTGTTTTCTTTTCTTTTAAAAAAAATTTAGGTATAATTGAGATACATTTTTCTTAAAGAAAAATATTTTAGAGATTAATTATGGAAAAAAGGGAATTATGTTGTTTTGGTAGGACGCTTAACAAGTCAGTATCTAAAAACAAAACTAATGCTTCTCGACCCCAGTCTTATTTGAACCTAATTAATACTAACAAAGCCTCAAGTGTTGACACACTGCATGTTCCATCCCGGTTAGTTTTAGTCCACTGCTCCCTTCTGGGGGCTCACTTATATCCTGTGTCACCTGCTGAACTTCTGTCAACAATGTCCTCATCCACCTCCTACAGTACAAGAAGCACCCGCACAGCTGTGTCTCAGCTGGTACTAGGGTCGGAGGAGGTCGGCAGACAAAAGGTCAGACATCCTGAAGATGTATGTTTGATGATGGCAACAAAATGTTTAAAGGTTAAAACTCTGCCAAGCTGGTTTAGTTTATCAGATCTACAGTGGCTAGGGACCTAGTTCCAGAGATTTTTTCCCTGAAGACATAGAGGCAGTTGAGTAATTTCTCAATGTGATTTTGAAGAAAATGGTCATTTATCTCTTCATGACCAACTTTTTCTTCTGATTGATCTCATAGTGTTTTTTCCCGAACTTTGGTCATGATGCCGACAATGATGCAATCACAAGTTGGCTTTAATACAGGTCATACTATAGGTTTTAGGAGCGCTAACATCATATATTTCACCAGGGACGTCTTTCAAGGGGAGACATACACTGGTACCCCAATAATTTTGGTTTACTCCTCCATTTTCTTCTAAAAAGTTCATAAAACTAGTGGAACACTATGATGCTCCCAATGTGGACTTTTAGCACATGTTAACATTTACAATATCATTCACTAACAGATCGACATTTTATAAACATTACCTCATAACTGAGAGGCAAGTAAGCAATTACACAATGCCTTGCATATAGCAGATGTTCAATAAATGTTTGAATAAATGGATAGTGGTTTTGCCTAGAGAGAAGAGGAAAAGGAAGAAATGATAGTACTTCATAACAAGATGTCTACATGCCAACAATACAGTGGGTACAGCACCTTAATTAGATCTGGCTACTGATCCTGACATTGGAAGACCAGTAGGATTTACCTAACTAGAGAACAGTCTATCCCAACATCAACAAGAAAGTTCCCACACTAAATAAATAAAGGTCATGAGCCCTAGCCGGCTTGGCTCAGTGGATAGAGCGTCAGCCTGCGGACCTAGGTTCGATTCCGGCCAAGGGCATGCGCCTGGGTTGCGGGCTCAATCCCAGTAGGGGGCATGCAGGAAGCAGCCCAGCCGATCAATTCTCTCTCATCATTGATGTTTCTATCTCTCTCTCCTTCTCCCTTGCTCTTTGAAATCAATAAAGAAATATATTTTAAAAAAATAAATAAATAAATGTCATGACATTTAATTATAAATGGATTACTAATCTTATAGTACACAAAGAGACATGGTTTCATGGGTGATAATCCAAGTGGCCTCTGTTACTCTTTTTTTTTACTCTCACCTGAGGATGTGTTTTTATTTATTTTTTAAAAAGAGAGGAAGGGAAAAGAAGAGAGGGAGGGGGAGGGGGAGAGGGAGGGAGAAACAGAAACATCGATCGGTTGCCTCCCATATGTGCCCTAACCGGGGATTGAACCTGCAACCTGGGCAACTACCCTGACTGGGAATCAAACCTGTGACCCTTCAGTGCATGACACTATGATCCAACTCACTGAGCAACACTGGCCAGGGCCTCTGACACTCTTGTTAAATAAGTTCACCAGTTCTAAAGATAAGAACTCTTCTATAAATATTCAGCTGGATTGCTATTTCCTGTATTTCCAGGTTACAAATAGGTATACTAAAATTTCAAGGCCTCAACTGGAATCCAATACTTAAACTGTGGATTTCACAAATCCTCTAAATTAATTTTTTTTTCAGAAAAAAGAAAACAGAAGTTCTGAGCTAAAAGTTACATTTGTATGCAACAATGCTCACGATTACATCCTGCATACAAGCATAAAGAGGTAGCTAAAAAGAACATCAGACATTGAAGGGGGAAAGTCTACTTCTAATCTCAAAGGTCACAAAAGCAGAAAACAGAAACCAAAGACAGTTCTAGTATTTACAAAAGACCAATAACACAGAGATGAGCTGAAGCCTATTTTAGAATTACTAATGCTGATGAGAAAATTCTTTGTATTGAAATACTAGAATTTTCTCTGAAACAACCACTGTTTATATGTCATCGTACCTCTCCAAATATCTTTATCCCCAGAAATATTTCCCACTCTGCTCTGTATTAAAAACTCAGTTGTGCGTATACTGTGCACAGATCAGTCCAAGAGTCCTAACTACATTAGCTCCATTCCACTAAACTTAAAGGGATATGCAACCAGGAAGAGAGGACTGACACTGGTGAGAAAAGCATTTTCATTTTAATGCCAAAATGGCCGAACAAAGCCACATAACTGGTTTCCTGCCCTTTTAGAATTGTTGTTACCCTTCTAAACAATAAACACCCAATACCTGTTTTGGTGGTTCCAACAAAAAGCAGCTGAAAAGAATAAAATTAAAAACAAAACACATTGCACCCAGCCAGCATGGCTCAGTGGTTGAGCACTGACCTATGAACCAGGAAGTCACTGGTTCGATTTCTGGTCAGGGCACATGCCCGGGTTGTGGGTTTGATCCCCAGTAGGGGGCATGCAGGAGGCAGCCGATCAATGATTCTCTCCTCACTGATGTTTTTCTCTCTCTCTCTTCCTCTCCCTTCCTCTCTGAAATCAATAAAAATAAAAAATAAAAAAAAACACAGTAGTAGCCATATGATTACTTCTACTGACACCCAAGTTATAACTTAATTTTGATTTTAGTTCCTCAAAATGGACAAAAGTATTTATGCTACTTGGAGAAAAAAGAAATGCTTGGACTCTTATAGTTGAAACATTCAAATACAGGCTGATGAATACGGTAAGTTTCTAAACCAAGAGCTCCTGCCTAGAGAACTTTCACTCTGAGAGAGACTAAGTGACGAATGATGTTTGTGTTGGTGACTTACTTGAAGTACAGTTCTTTGAAGGTGAAATGCGTTTCCACAATGCCTGTGGTCTTCACTCTTGTCCGCAGGACATCTTGCTGAGTTGGAATGTAGTTGGTTTGGGATATTCTTTCCAAATCATTTAGGTAACTAAATAAAATACACGTTTATGTTTACCTGGTGAAACCAACCATGTGCACAGCAAGTCAACAGACTAAACTAGTTCCTGCCAAAAGTAGATCCTGAGCTAAAGTGGCCGAACAGAATCACATCTTCCTATCACAGAAATAAGAAAATCTGAGCCTAGCAGAGGACAGAGTAGGTTCTATAAACACCACACAAAACTGACAGGACTTTAAAGAATAGTGTTTGAATTACTAAAAAGAGAACTATGCTCAATAAGAATGAGTAGTTCCTGTTTTTATTTATGAAACTGAAAGTTGTGGGGTTTTTTAAAATCTAAGCCAAAAACAAACTATAAATACCTTCAAAGAAATTTAATTTGTCATAAAATAATTAAAAGACTGATTCACAGCTAAATTAAATTTTTCATTTCAGGGTTTCTAAAGATTTGTGGCCTGACATGAAGAACAGGTGGCACCATTGTAAGAGAATCTTATTTAATAAAAGGCTAATATGCAAATAGATCAAATGGCGGAACAACCGAACAACCGGTTGCTATGGCGTGCGTTGACCACCAGGGGGCGCACACAGACCATGGCGGACGTCGGCAGCAGGCAGCAGAGCATGGAACATGGCGGGAGTTGGCCATGGCGGGATGGTGGAGCAGGTGAGTGGGGGCACCAGACCAAGCGGGGCACCGGTCACTGTCATTGGGGCGAACCTCTGGTGGCTACTGAAAATTCTTTGCTCCTGTGCGCTGGCCCCACTCATACCTGCTGCCAGCACTGGAGCTGCCACTTTTCCCTGCTGCTGGTGCCTGGCGTCAGCTCCCATCGCTTGGCGCTGTCAGCAGGTGCGAGTGGTGCCTGCTGGCCTCGATCGCCCCTCAAGGCTTTTCCACCTCCCCCTATTCCTGAGGGGCAATCGGGACCAGCAGCTGCCTCTCGCACCTGCTGCCAGTGATGGCCCCGCTCGCACCCACTGCCGGTGCCTGGCGCTGGTCCCAATCACTTGGCGCCGTCAGCGGGTGCGAGTGACGGCTGCTGGCCCCAATCACCCGAGGGCTTCTCCACCTCCCCCTTCTCCTGAGGGGAGATCGGGGCAGCAGCCGCTACTCGCACCATCAGCATCAGTGCATGGGAGTGGCAGCGGGGCTGCCAGCAGAGAGGGGACCCAGGCCATGGTGGGAGGGGCCGGGTGGGGGCGCACAGGATGGGCCAAGACCCACCCCTGTACCCACTACAGTCTTGCAGCCCACAGTTCCTTTCAAGGTGCACGAATTCGTGCATTGGGCCCCTAGTCATTAATAAGGAGCCAGTCAAGCTTAGGTCAACAATTATGAAAAAAAACCCCACAAAAACAGCACCTCTATAAATCACATGTCTTTAGGTGTAGCTGGAGGATTTAGAGATTACTGAATGTATGATGGAAGAAACAACTACAATCTAGCTTTGATGACTACTGGGAGAATTATTTAAACTACCAATAGCTGCAATTTAAAAATATTAAAAAAAAGATGGGCAAGAATCTTGAAATGGTTCGCAAGTCAAATTTTCTCTTGAAGAATAAGTTTTTCAAATATCATTTAATTTCTTCTGTAACAACTTACATTGGAATGAGAATGGGGAAAGTAGGACAATATAATACTGGAGAAAATACCTTAATGTTTAAAAGCGTCTTCATTTAGTAAAAAAATGAATACAAGTAACAAGAACTCACCAAGCCCCCAAAATGCATGTTAAAAAAAAACAACATTCTGAAAAAAGGTATGATAAGTAAAAATGTAAAAGAAGCAAAACAGGATAGCACATTATAGCTTAATATAAGTATTCATTACAAATTTCCTAAAAGCACATAAACCAAGAGAATTTCCTTGACAAACAGATGCTTCAATTTCGTTCCAAGACTCAACATCTCCTTCTATGTAAAGTCTGCTATTGCGTTATCTGGCAAAAGATTTATCAGTGGTGACTAGTCCCCGGGAAATCCATATTGCAACCAGCCACAGAGGTGGATGCATAGAAAGGGAGTCACAATCCTAAACTCCCTCGCTTGCTGGCAATCGATGCAAAGCCCTGGTGCACAGAGGGATTCCCGAGCTGGGAGAGAAGCAGGAGCCAGCTGCAGGAGGTGTCTCACCACTTTCCCCTGCTCTTTACCAACTACCATAGAGCTCTGTCTCCCACTTACATTCCAAGAGGAAACGTTTTTCTCCAGGTCATACAAAATGACCAAGGGCTCTCCAACTGAACTGAAACCATCTCTATAAGGAATCCATAGACTTCAAGAGTGTCTGCTCCTTCCCCATTTCCGTAAGGATGGGCAATGAACTGAGCTGTTTTCTGTGATAGAGGGAAATGACTTACTATGAGGCAGAATCGTTGAGCTGGTACTCCCTGGATCTGCAGAAGCAAGCCTGCACGCCACCATCTCGCCACAGCCGTCTAATCACTCCTGCCAGTTCCGGGGTCATGACTCCTTCCTCGGCACTGCCAGCTAAGACAAATAACTGCCGGGCATCATCCTGAAGAGAGACAGATGGTCCTCCAGTTCTTAAAGACTTCCACACACACACACACGAGCATCATGTTATATTATTTCTAACGAGGCACTGAGTCTCACCCCTTCTCCACTACAGTCACAAGTGCAGAGCTGAACTGAGGAATGGTTTCACGCCCCTACCCCTACCCACTTCCTCCACAGACCACCATCCCCTGCAAACATCTCCTTCTGACTGGCCTACTAATCTCCATCCTGGTTACGCATACATTTTGGCAGGAAAAAAAACTGGCCTGTGAGACAGACATATGTAACTCATTTGCATTCTGTTCAAGGAAGTCTCCAATAAAAATAGAAATGAAGACTAGCATGTAAGAGGTGAAGCCTGCACACGTCCAAGGAAGTAGAATCAGTTTAAGGAGAAAGTGTTCTCTTCTTCCCCCTTCAGGTCAGAAAGGAGCAGAAGGCATTTTGGAAGTCTGGAAGTCTAGTGGGAGACACAAATCCCCCAGGGCAAATGCAGTCTCTGGATTTCCCCAGCGCAGTAATAACTCTCTAATAAGACAGGGGGAAAGGCAGCAAAAGGAAAAGTAGCTACAAAGAGAGATTCGATCCAAACTTCCTGAGTCAGGGACCTAGCTGTACAAGCAGTTAGAGTTTTTAAACATCAAATGCGGGAGTGGGGGGAGAGGACCGAAAGGGGCTGGGAGAACTGTGACTGTTTTGCTTTATTCTTCTCAGCCCCAATTGTCAGATGGTATAAAAAAGAACACCAGTCTCATGGGATGATTCCCCCTCAAATCCAATACCTGCCTCAGGAGATTTCCAAATGACTCTACAAACACAGAAACGAAAGAAGCATATTCTTGGTAAAGAAAAAGGGGGGAGGGGAGCAATCAATTGTATCACAGTGGCCAGCAAAGAGCATTTCCAACCACAGGGACAATCACAGCCCAAACCTCCGAAGATGTGTGAATCCACCTGCGCAGGCGAAGCAACACAAAACTAACCCGAGTGCGTCCCATTAATTCTGCCTAACTCGGGGTCTTCGGCCTGCATGGTGTTTGCCGAGTACTACTCCTCCTGTAAGATCCTTTCCTGTTTCTTTACTGTATTTTTAGGCCCAACCCTCTCTACGAAACTTTATCTAACATCCGCATTGCCCTCCTTTCTTTCCAGAGATAAGTATTTAACATAAAGGAGTGAATGACTGAGAAAAGCTGCAAAATGACATAAACTGGCAAATACCCAACAGTGAGCAGGCCCTTCTACAGAGATGGTATCGTCTTTATTTAACATTTGAAGACTTTATAGTCCCCTGGTTCTGAAATCTGACCCATACTCATGCAGATATTAAAAACACCTCAATAAGCATTACTTTTTAAATTTAATACCATGGTTCTAATTTTAGAAACTTGAAGAGAGAGCTACTGTATCATAATTTTGCTGTCCTGACTTTGTAAACACTGTTTCAGGAGGAAACACTTTCCCCTACCACTTAATCTCTTCCACTGACCAATCTTGCTTCCCCACAATAGACCTTCTTAATAAAGGTCTGTAAAGAGGCCCCTCTCTGCAATGAACTTCATACCTTCACCCTCAGCAGACATGAAAAACAACCTGCCCCACACCCAGCTCTATTCTTTCCCATTCGCTCTCTAACCAACCATAAATAACTAGAAGGACAGTAGAGGAGCTATAAATATAAATTCTTACACATAAAAAAGAGAAACTTCGATTCTATAGTTCAGTGTAGTACAGGGTCACAATATTCTTGAATACCAAAAACTGCCTCTAAAATTTAGACGTGGTGTTCAGTCCTTACCAAGTATATTCTGGGGGAGCGATATCTGCCTTAAGTCTCTACACCTCAGAAAGCAGAGCTACATGTCCAGGCAGCCTCTGTTACATCCCATCAACTGGCTCTCACTTGCTACTCTAAGATAATACACAGTGCTGTAAAAGAAGTGGATAGAAGTTATCCCAGAACCCTAGTCTATCCCATTTCCTAAAGACCTGACAAGCTAATACCTCCCAAACAGATTGCTAACACTTCTCAAATGAGCACAGAGTACTTTGCTACATCTTACCTTGTTGCTTAAATCCATTTCCCTAAAACGCGAAGCAAATTTTGCTTAACTGCATCTACTGAAAAAGAGCAAGGGGAGAGGAAATGAAAGGCACTTACTGCTCTGGCTGCTTCCCCAAAGTCGATCTTTAGCCGTCCCATGGCTCGTATGATGGCAATAATGGACTGTATCGTGTTGCTGTAGACAACTACTCTATACTGTTTACATTCTTCCTCCGAATAGCCGTCCTCATGAATGATTCTTGGAAAAGAAGAAAACCACAAATCATTACGATGGACCTAAGATGGAAAGACCCTGTGAACTTTCATGCATTGTGAGGAAATGCGGTCTTACAAAAGGCCATGTCTCAACTTACTTCATCTGTTTCACAATGGTGCTTTTACCAGATTCTCCAGCACCTGAAAGAAAGGGAAACCAAATGTTGAACTCATCTGGAATCAAACACAAAAGCATGAAATCAACAAGAGTAGTAATTCCAGATTAATGGAAACCACAGGTCCTGGGGAAAACTTTGGTCAGGCTTCTATCAGGAAAAACCCGTGAGCTTCTCCATTAGAGTTTTTTTATACTTTCTTTACATAACTCAGCAACCAAGTAAAATTCATTGACAGTGTCCCAGGGCCTACTGCATACCACTTGTGAAAAGCAGGCCTTCTCCAGGAGACAAGCCAACACCTCTAGGAACTTACCCTCTACAAGAAACAGGATACAGACACTGAACACAGGCAAAAATGAAATGATTCATGGTTGGCCTAATCACATTGATTAATTCCTCTGTCAACCCCCAGGGACCTGAGGAATGTTCCAAGAGCAATCCTCTCAGCCATGGGACTAGAGTTCAAAATAGAAGCAGAGGAGGCACTGTCCCCAGCACTTTTCCACTCTATACCCCACCCCCACGGTCCCTTCCTCATCCAGCGAGAACCACTTTAATGACCACAAGTGTCAGGGGGGCCCGCTGAACTCCTTGGGATTCATTCCACCTGCATTTCCCCAGCCAATGCATTTTCCCACCTTCCAAGATGCCTGTTTAACACTGACTCCCCCTCAATCCTTACAAACCCGTTCCCACTTCTGACTCTCAGCCTCTCTTTTACTGGAAAGATTAAAGAACTAAAAGAAAAACATGCACACATTTTCCCATAACCAAATCTACCAATCTACGTGTACCTCCATGAATACTCTCTACCTTCATCAATGTACTGTCTCTGCCAATGTCTGAGGCTAATCTCTTCAATTGTGCACTTATCCACCGCACTGTACCTACTCCAGGTCTTGGCTGCTACAATTATCCCATGTCACTCAAATATCGAGGTTTCTCTTCCTACTGGGCCACTCTCATCAGTACACAAAGTTACTCGATTACCTTCCATCCTAAAATCAACACATACCCCGCCTCCTACCTTCCGACTCCAAGTATCTTCCTCTAGCCACCTCTTCATTTTTTCTTCCTCTTTATACCAAAACACTTGAGTTGTCTATACTCATGTTCTCCAATTCCGTGCCTCCCATTCTCTCCTAACCCACTCCAGGCAGATGTCCATGCCCACCACTCGACTGAACCCACTTCCCCAGGTCTCACAACTTCCATGTTAACAAAGCCAATGGCCAATTCTTGTTCCTCATCTTATTCAACCTCTTAAACGGAACTTGTCCACATTGATAACTTCTCCCCTTGAAATATTTTCTGGAGCCCACATCCTCCTGTCTGAATTCTAAAGGTTATTTCCTTGGCCCTTTTCTCTGTCTGCATTCATTCTCTAGGCCATCTCATCTAACTGGTGTTTTAAACACCAGTCATAAAGTGATAATAATAGTTAACAGCTAGTGAGTACTGAGTGCCAGACACAATTCCATGCACTTTGCTTGTATTAACCCAATGAATACAATACCCTGTGTGGTAGATATTATTATCCCCAGATGACGTACATACAGCAGAGAGATGTTAACTTGTCCACAATTACAGTCAGTAAGCAGCAGAGCTAAAAATGTGCACTCACACAGTTTGGCTCCAAAGTTGTTGTATACTGCCTCTATGCTAATGATTTCCAAATTTAGATCTTTCATCTTGGCTTCTAACCTTGGCTCCAGACTCATCTATGGAAACCACCTACTGGTATATCTATCTCATTAGCTTCCTATTAGACATCACAAACTTAAAATGCCCCAAACTGAGTTACTGCTTCCCTACCTTCCCACCAAAGCCCGCCCCATCCCGTTTCCTTATCTCAGTAAATGACACCAGCACTGACTCAGTCGCTCAAGCTAAAAATGGTGACATATAATTAACATACAGATGAAATGTGGGTGCCAGTACCAATATGTATATTAAATATTAGGAAAGTCTAATTTTTAAATAAATAAATATGTAGTTCTAACAGGTTCTTCTTGCCCCACAATGGATCATGATGAGTACACTGGAAACCACAGGTGATTACTGCAAAGACTTCCTAAACGCTTCAGACCTTGCCTTTCCTACGGTCAGTGTTCCACTCAGTGGCAGGAATGAAATCTGTAAAATGAAAATCAGATCATGTCACAACTCCACCTCAAACTCTCCTCCGCCTCCGATTACATTCAAAGTAAAATCCCGGGGCAGGAAGGCCCACTGCGCTCTGGCCCGTCCACCTCTTCATCGTTGACTCCCATCATTCTCCATTTTGTTCTCTCTGCTCTTGTCAGTCAGAAAACATACCAAACAGGTTCTCAGTGAGCTTGATCCTGACTCATGGTCTCTGTAATCACTATTCCCTCTGCCTGGAACACGTTTTTACAAAATCTTCTTCCTCCTTCAGAACAGCATTCCCTGACTAATCTACCTAAAAAGCTCCATCCCATTCGCCCTCTCTCCCCTCACTCTGTGTTGTATTTTCTTGAAGCACCTGTCACTTCTTCACATTACAGACGTGTTCACTTCATGTCTTCTCCACTAAAATATAAGCTCCATGATGGTTTATGCATCCCTGTATTCCCAGGACTTAAAACTAACCCTAACATAAGTTGGTCATGCAAATAAATACTGCTGAACAGATAAATGACTAATGTTTAATATGTATGATCCTTTACTAAATATTTCTCAACTCTACCAACCAAAAATGTTAGTGAAAATAAAATTCAAATAACTTAAACATTTCAGACATCTACATTTTTACAGAATCAAACAGGATTTTTACCTGTGACATTGTCTCTGTTCTTATAACCTAATCAATTATCAGGGGTAGCACTAAAATAGTTAATATTCAAGTAGCCCGCAGAGAACTTTCTAAGGACACTGTAAGAAAGAAGTGATTTCTCCCTTGCATACCTTAAAAAACACACACAACCTAATGATTCGATTTCAATTCTGGGGAAGAAAATAAAAAAGCACACCAGCTATATGCTGCCCTACCTCTGTGCTTTTCCAAGGCTACCGGATAAAATGTCCGTTTGTCCTTCTCTTCATTATGACACTATATATAAATGTATGTATTTGTATATGTATTTTTTTCACCCAAGCTTTTATTAGGTACCCAGTTCTGTCTCTTAAAAGAAGGCACCTCTTACTGACCACAGAATTGAGTGGGCGTTTCAGGGCATTTTATACAAATACAGACTGATTTGCTTTCTACCGAAAGGCTTGGACCCATTCGGCTTCTAGATCACCATGAAAAGTGCCAGCAGCTTACCTTTCTTCCAAGTATGAAATCTAAGAGTCACCTGGAACTCACTCACTCTTCTCTCCTTACATCAGGCTGTAACCAAATCTTCTTCCTCCTTATGCATTTCTCAAGTTAATCCTTTCTACTCCTCACATCTCAGCCTGACGCTACACCTATTATATTGCTGTAACTTTCTCAAACTTCTAGCTCAAAGATGACACCACTAAAAAGGCACCAGTTTATCTAATAATTATCCAAATTCTAACATCTTCTGTAACCCTTTATTAGGGCTGGACTCTTCATTTTTACCTCAATCCTCTGTGCTCTGTTGCTGCAGTAGTGAGTCTCCCTTTAGTAACATCTCTCTTAGGTTTTCCCCACATGCTCCCCATGTCTCACCTTCCCCTCCCAATACAGATATGGTGTTTGGAACGTCCTAATTTTATCTACATCCTTTTACCTACCTTCCTTCAAAATTCACCAAATTTAAGGGGAGACTCACCTGCCCATCTTCAATCTACCAGGGCAGTAATCATAAGGATGTAAAGAATGGGATCCATACAAAGGGAGTGCAATGACGGAATCCATGGCTTAGAGAGAAGAACTGAAGATGACTCTGTAGCAGAAGGGATGGAACTGGGCAGGGGGTAGGGTGTATAGGAGAGCAAAGTCGAAAGGTCCCAGAGACAGGAGAGAATGAGATCAGTTTGACTTAGAAGATTTAGACTTGAAAAGACATATAGCTAAAGGTCATGTTATCAATAGGAAGAAAGGACGAGGGCTAAAGCTAAGGGATTTCTGAAAGAAAAAGGGCAGAAGAAGCTAAGTTAGATGGTCTTGCTCTCAATACAAGAAGGCAATGTGCAGCAAACAAAGGGGTAGAATTGGTTTAGAAAATCAGCTTAGAAACAATCAAACAGAACAAGCAGTGTGTGTACAGGTTAGCATAATCACCGACAGTTAGATGAAAAACAACTTACCAGCACACGCTCTATTCTAGAATCATCGTATTTACCGAAACGCATTCTAAGTTTTGTTTTTAAGGAGCTCCTTGAGAGGAGACACCATATTACACGCCCCACCCACTTCTTCCCACAACACACACTACATTATGGGGATGGAAGATAAGAAATGCTGATGATTTCTCTTTTTTCTTTTATTTATCTTTATTGTTTGAAGTATTACAGATGTCCCCTTCCCCCACCAATGACTCCCCTCCTCACCACTCCCGTCCCCTCTCCATGTGATTTCTTTGCACGATTTTTTTTAAGTCCAGGGAATTGCTAACATATATAAATAATTATCACATAAATAAACATGTTTACCTTATATACACACTGATTTTAAACCCTGAAAGAGGGCTGATCCTCGAAAAACAGTGTCACCCGATGCCTTCTCTTTTTTCCTCTTTCATTTTGACTAGAAGGAAACGTCAAGCCAGTCCACAGAGGGTGCATGAGCGTATTCTGCTCCTTTACACTGCTGTGCCCTCAGGGATAAGATTTACTTACCTGTGGAACCGTCAACTGATGATGCTTAGAACAGTGCCTGACACACGATAGTATTCAGTAAACATTAACCAGCCACCATTGTGAATGCTGTTTCCACTGTCAGAATACCACCAAGTAACGTTGGGGCCCAAAGAATATAATTTAATAAAAACTCCTTGGACACTGATGTTGGCTCAAAATCCCAGTAGCAGCTGTTTCCCAACAATCAAATCCTAGATGGAACGTGGATTCACACTCTTAAACAGCAACTTATAACCTAAAACCTACAGCAAACTATGTCAAAGCATGAGTCATTTTCTCCACCCCACCCAGAGGAACAACAACAACAAAAAAAAAACCTCTCTTCCTTAAATATACTTTCGGCTCTAGATACGCCTACTACCTTCTCTCCCACACCTCTCACCCATCAGTACCTCTCGGGCGTTTCCTTGTGTTTTGTCCTTGTCCCACTACCTCGTGTACTAGTGGCCATTCTTGTGGCACCTGGAACATCTCTGTCTCCTTCCTGTTAAGTATCTGTTTCCATGGAGAAATCTTGCAGTGTCTAAAAGCCCAGGATTCTAGCTAGAGCACTGCCCTCCTCGGGAGGTCTGTAGTTAAGTCCGACAGGGCACTGTGTGCAGGTGACCAGCCCGTGCTGGACCAAGACACTCTCTTGGTCTCTGCAGGCCCCATTATCAGACAAATGGGAACACCTGACTTCTGTACCACGGAAGGTTGAAAACTTGACCAGCAAATAAATTTGATTTTTCTTTCTAACTTATCCTCACCTTTCATTTACAACTCAGGCACTTAAAAATATTTTTTTAGTGAACGATACCATGGCATAATAAACGCTGTGGAAGAGTAGACTTCGGTCCTAGCTCGGCCATGACTAACTGCAGGACCTTTGGCAAGCCACCTGGCCTCACTGTCTCCTTATATAGCAACTGTGAAGGGCTGTGGCCTAGGTGCTCCGTGGTTGCACTCTAACACTATAGTTATAATGACTCGATAAAGCTACCAGCAGACTCAATCTCTAATTCTGACACACGTAGGCTTGAAATCAGACCATGGGTCACATCATCCTATTAACCCAACCATTTACAATAGTGACCATAATCCAGTGATCAGCATGTCTCCAACAGGCACTCCTGATCAAGAAGGGACAGAGAACAGAAAGCATCAGACAGTGCAGAACATGGAGGAAAGCGTGTCTGGCAGCAAACCTCTATTCATGTAATGACATAATCTCCAACTGGCAGAATATTCAAGTTAGCTGCTGTTCTTTAAAGAGTGAATATCCTTAACTAAGGATCTCAGGACCACAGGCCATGCTCGTTCCAATCACAAGATGATCGATGGCTCCCACTGATTCCTTCTATTGACAGGCATAGAGTAGCTAACAGTAAAAATTCAGATTAAGGTGAAAATGACATATCATTCAGAATGCTTTTCAAGGTATCATTCTTAATACAACAACCAGTCACTTCCTAATTCAGTAAAAGAAAAGGTTAGCAGAATTACAGATGCGAAAAATGTCATAGAGCAAATAAAAATTGTTTCTCAGTCTTTTCCCCCCTCACAAGCATTTCTTGTATGTGTCAGAAACTGCTGGGCAGAGACTTCAAATACAGATAAGCTTAGGAACTTATGATCTCGTGGGAGAAGTTAGAAACTGCTTTTCATGTGAAATTAGCAAGTTTCCTTAGCCTAAAGCAGTGATGGCGAACCTTTTGAGCTCGGCGTGTCAGCATTTTGAAAAACCCTAACTTAACTCTGGTGCCGTGTCACATATAGAAATTTTTTGATATTTGCAACCATAGTAAAACAAAGACTTATGTTTTTGATATTTTACATATTTAAATGCCATTTAACAAAGAAAAATCAACCAAAAAAATGAGTTCACGTGTCACCTCTGACACGCGTGTCATAGGTTCGCCATCACTGGCCTAAAGTGTCAGAATGCCTTGTTCCACCCAGCTCACTGTCCCTCTAAGCCTGCCCAGCCTTTGCACATAAATATCCTTGCAACCAAACCGGTTTGGCTCAGTGGATAGAGCGTTGGCCTGTGGACTGAAAGGTCCCAGGTTTGATTCCGGTCAAGGGCATGTACTGGGTTGCGGGCACATCCCCAGTAGTGGGTGTGCAGGAGGCAGCTGGTCGATGTTTCTCTCTCATCGATGTTTCTAACTCTCTATCCCTCTCCCTTCCTCTCTGTAAAAAAATCAATAAAAATATATTAAAAAAATATATATCCTTGCAAACCCTACTTAGTTCAAACTTCCACTCTCTGCTGAAGCCCGCGCCATCCTCTCTGCACATTATTACTCCCACTCTGGTGGCTGGTCTGACTGTTCATTGCCTTTCAGTGTCCGTCCCAGAGGTGAGTTTCCAAAATTCAGTTCCAAACGCCCCCTCCCAGCCACCTCACCTGATCCTGAGCTCTAGCCAGCTCTTGGCTCCTCTAAAAAGCCGACTATCTCCCAGCTCCTACTCTACTCACTTTTCCTAAGCTGCCAACTGGTTTCCTCGGCCTTGATGAAATGGCAATGAAACTCTTTTCGGTACCACCTGAACACTCTTCCACACTGTACTTCTCCCTCAAGAGCACTCTGGCCAGGCTCAACCTGATCCTAGAGGCTTGTGTCAAACATTGTCACACTAATTATTTGGTCAAATTAATGTAATGAATTGGGTTTGTACTTATTAGGTCTCCAGTAGTCCTATGCTCAAAAGCGCTCTTACAAAGCACAACTTAGTGCCTTCTTTTTGTGTGTCCCCGCACACCCCCCGCCCCCAACCCCCGTATCTAGCCTCCATCTAGGACAGGTAGGCACATAACTGCGGGCATGATGAATGGCTTGAGTTTCCATGAGACTCAATGGTTACCTAATCACATTTTGCAAATGCCAGCTGCAATGGATGGCATTTCCAATGTGGGCAGCTAACAGAAACAGATTTCCATTCCTCTGCTATTTTTACTCAGCCCCACGCCCATTCCTAGCTATGCCCTCACCTCTCACCCACAATTATACCTGACAATAAATTTGGACTCGCTCACAACCCTCTCCTATTCCCCCTATTTCCCTCTACATCTCACTCTAGGCCTATCCCAGCTCCCACGCACCCACCATCCACTTCAGTGAAGCTGCTATGAATCTGTCCTGTCCACCCCGTATCCCAACACCCAAGAGAGGGCACGAAACACAGTGAGTCCTCATGAACTATCTGTGCAGTGAATGAGTAAATGAATGAATACTTAAGGGTAAAAGATGGCAGTGAGTGTGACTGGGGCAGAGAAAACGGTCTCTTCTCTGAAAAGATTTTTCTAGAAAACAATTGCCCAAAAGGTTTGAAGTATATATAAGAAATCTCTGATAAAACTTGCAATGGCCGACATGATCTGGGCCACTCCCTCCCTGTGATTGATCAGGAAGTGAATACCTGAAGCAGGAGTCACCCAGGCAAAGCTGACAAGGACCTGCGCCCTGCTCGACCTCGCTCCAAAAGATGAGTAGGACCCCCAGTCAGATTAACTAAGGACGCTGTACAAGGAAATGGAGAAAAAGGAATCCTGAACTACTAGGCTGCAATGTGTGAAAAATCCAGGCTGCCATTAGGGGGCCTTCATGCACATCAACGTCAGGAAGCGAAGGGCCTCGGGAAGCTGGCCTAGAGAAAAGCGAACAGACAGATGTGCAGAGTGCCGTACAGGCGCCACGAGAGAGGAGAGAGCGCACACAAGAGAAGAGACAGAAGGTGGGGAAAGAGAATGGATGGGACCAAGGAGACAGAAGGGAGAGGAAGAGACAAGAAGGCAAAAAGAAGCTGAAAGAGGGAAGACAACAGGAGCCTGGCCAATGCCAGCGCTGCCTCAGTTCCCACGGCCCGACTCTTCCGTTCTTCCTGCTTTCCCGGAAAACCTCTCTCCAGTCTAACAGTTCCCTCCCAACTCTCTGAGCTGGCTTCAATCCGTTTTCTATTTCTTGTGAGCAAAACAAAACATAAAAATAAATAAAAACTGAATGGAAGTAGCTTTAAGCTAATTAGAATCAATTACCTTTTTTTTGGCCTTTAAAAAAATCTTAAGTTGGTTTGATTAAATATTGAATACATAAAAGGGAATAATTGTGACTTGTGTAACAAAACAAACATCTGTGCAGCTATCACCCAGCATAAAACATTAAAGATGCCCAGTCATCTCTGAACTCACCTGGGTCTCTTCCTATCATCAATTACTTTTCCATGAAATATTTCTAGAAGGTGAATATGCAATAAGGGAGGGGAGGGCATTAAAAAAAACCAAAACCCTAACAACCAAAATATGTCTGCCTTACACAACAGTATATGGTTTGTACAGTTTCACATCTTTCTCCAATTACATGGGCAATCCTATCATTTTACAAGCCTTATCTATATATATAAAAGGCTAAGCGACTGTCCAACTGTCGGGTAGGTATGACGCACACGACCACCAGCGGGCAGACGCTCAACGCAGGAGCTGCTGAGCTGCAGTGACTTGGCAGCTGTGGTGGTGACGCACCCGGAACCAGAGAGGAGGGAGCCTGATTCCTCACAGGGCCGCACGATTCCACCTTTGGTCATGAGTTATGTTGTTGCTGGGCACTGTCGCCCAAATCTGGTGGGGGAGGGACCGCGGGAGGTTGGTTCCAGGGCGTGTCTGGCCCCTGCTAGCCTGGCCCCCCGCTGGCCACCTTCTAATTAATTTCCTTTCATTGTGCACGAATCCGTGTACCGGGCCACTAGTAAACTATAAAGCAGAAAGCTAACAGCCACTTTAACGTTCATAAATCACCTAAGGAAGATGTTGGTTTAAGAGAGAAAAAGAGGCAGCTCACTTAGCCGAATAGCTCTCCTCAAAACACTATCACTTGAGAACATGAACGAGTAACTTGAGTGCTGCTAAAGATCCGGTGTTCCCCTTGGGCAACTGGCCATGTGAGTGGGACAAGTGTGGTTCCTCCTCACTTCTGCGGAATATAAAGAGAATGCTGGAGGGAGCAGGCGCTTGTGAGCAAGGAGGGGATTAGCCTCTGGCTGCCCCAGTATTCTAATTTTGGCTTCTGGTGAGTAAGTTTCCTTTCACTTCTTTGAAAGCAGGTCAACAAAAAGCCATTTGATGTTAACCCTAAATTATATGCTTTGTACACATACATCACTGAACACTAATTTTGCGAAGGTACATTTCTTACTAGCCCCAGCTCAAAATTTTCTTGTGAGATAGGAAAGTAAAATACTCAAATGAGCACCCTTCTAATCCCTGCATACCTCTCCAGCCTCACCTCCTCCATTCTTACACCAACCCTTCATTCCAGGCAAACCTAGTCACTGGCTCACAGATAGCACTGAGCTTTTGCGCACTATTACCCCTCTGTCTGGGTGCGCTTCTCTCCAGTCTCTGCCTTAAGAGCTCCTATTTACCCTTCAAGGTCCATCTCGAACATCGCCTACTCTGGGAGGACTTTCCTGATATGTCTCTTCCCCACCTCCTTCCAGAACTTGGC